ATCTTCTATTTACAAATTCAGATTTATTTCTATTGTCCTTTTCCTTAGATTACCTTACTATTTTTTCCGTTTATTTGTCGCCAGAGTGGACAGCGATAAGTTTAGACTTACAACGCTAAAATCTAGAGTTCGATTCCCCATGGTAGACACAGCAGCTAGCCCAATGTGTCTTTACTCTAAAACAACCGAAAAAAATTCCTGATATTTACTATCCTCTTCTAGCTGTTCCAAAAACCTACTTTCTTTTCTAAAATTTCCTGATTCCGTCTCTCTTCTCTTTGACACAATTTCTCGACGTTCAGTCAAAATTTAAAAGATTTCTTTTGAAATTGTAATGAAAAAATATATTAATTTCTTAATAATTAATAATAATACTTTATTAGCCGTTTTAACGCTTCTTTAGCTTTTAATTAAAAGCCGCTAGGAGCCGAAATGTCTAACAAATAAGAATCCAGGAGTTTTGATGCGTATTTTATATGTATCTTAAGTATATCGTAGGTAACTTCCAGGACAAAGTAAGTAAAGCATTTTTCAAAAATAATATTTGTAGTCTGTGGAATTTATGTATTGTATTAAAGTAATTTCATTATTAACGTTAAACATATTTAATGTTAACGTTAATTTGACGACGTTTTAGTTATATTTTGATTTTAAACGTTAGTAATAATGTAATATATCTTATAATCCGAGTTTTCAAAAATAAAATATTAAAAAATTAATTTATTAAACTTAAATTTGTTACTTTCAAAAAGTGTTTATCTGCTTTCTAATTTTTATAGTCTTCATATGGAAAAGTAGCCTGTGATGCTATGACACGTATTAAATAATTTGGTAAATATATAAAACAGTTAGCTAAAAAACAAAGAATTAATTTTTTTTTGCAAATATATATATATATATATATATATATATAATTCCCAGTTAAGCCTAATTGTTTTTAAAGGCTATTGATTACGTAAACAAGAAAAAAGTGGAATACACTCTATGAAATAGCCTTCCTCGCAACACTTAATAATATATACAACGCAAGTTATGGAGGGAATACGTTTGTTTAGGACCTCAGAGCAGTAAACAAAATATATTGCAAACTCTTTTCGTGTGATTTCAGATTAAATAAACTCTCCTGAAAAGATTTGATGATTCTGCTTAGTTTATCACTAGTGCTCTAGGTTTTGATAGTACACAGAATCATTCAGTTAGCGATTAACACATCTTCCTACTTTTACTCTGTGAGAGAAGATGAACCAATATTATCATAATCATTGTTTAGCAGATAGCAGATAACGAGCATTGCATAATTAGTTATATCAATAAATCGGTGAAAATTCTAAGTCGGGAGGAAATTATTATTTTAATTGAATCATTTACTTTTTAGTTACTTATCTCTGCTGACGCTCTCATTATAAATTTTGATTGATTGGCATAGCTTTAGCTGGAGTTACAAAAAATGGCATTATAAGACTTTTTGTTCTCTTAAATTTTATATCTATCACAGAACAAGATAGAGTATTAATTCATCTGTCACATGTTGTTTGATAATTACTTCAATCGAAATATTTTAACGACGATAGCATCATTCTACACATAACAATTTATTAAAATAAAACACAATCCATGACATTTTTAATATAAAAAACAAACTGTTAGTTACAGTAAATAAAACATATTACAAATATCCCCCTAATTTTGATATGTTTGTTACGCTATAACTCTTCTTACAACAGCTAAAAAAACTTTGTTGTGGAAAAATAACTTACATTTGATCCACGAACATTTATTTCCCTTATAACCGTGGTAGACATTAACTTATGATACAATATGTTTCTTTGTTTTACGTAAACAGAGTATTTACTTCACAATCAGTAATTAAAACAAAGAACACAATCTGATGAAAATGAAATTATTTCAGTTACGTTTACTACGATAATAGTTTTGTTTTCATAGTGAGGTAGAAGTTTCATTAATTAACCTTGCACCAACAACCCGAAAATATACGATACAAAAATCGAATTCTCAATCAAGCCCTACTCAAAATCTTCCACGTCTTCGTCTCATAAAAAAAAAAACTTACAAAATTATAAAACGAAATTAAAGCTAAATAAAAAATAAACTTCGAACTTTACCGTTTAAGTAGTTTTTAAATAAAATTTTGAATTGAGTTTTAATAATCTAAATGACCCTTTTTCCTTTAAAATATACTTTTTAAAGATGTAAAAAATAATTCTTCAATAATCATCATAGTATAAAAAAATCTAAATAAAATTGATCAAGAAAGCATCACAAAACAAATAAAAATCAATCAATTTATACTTTCATCATGTTAGCTTTAGTCCCGTTATCATATTTCTATCAGTATCAATTTGAAAAAAGTTAGCATCCTTCAATACATAACAATCATACACGTTGAAATGTGCCATATGTTGTCGAATGCTACATCATGAAAACTAAGCCACGAGAAAATCAGTAACCTATTACGGCAAATAATATCTGGATTCTCTTTTCATTTTCAAATGCGAACAAATTGTGTATTTCAAACCTTCGTCTTCATAGTCACTCTCGTACAACTTCTTTTATCTGACAGCGAATTTTTGAAACGTCAAGATTACAAATTGGTGAGAAATGCTTATTCATGTCTCGTCAAAAAAAAAAAGGTTCGTAAGCCCTGAACGTCCTAGAAAAATGATTCCTTCCATTTATCATGCTTAGTACAATTTGAGCATTTTCAAGTGAACAGCACCAATAATCAACGCTCTTTTACGCTTACGTGGAGCTTTATGAGCTGTTCGATGATTTCATTTTTCAGTCAGTCATTTGTTGTAGTATTTGATGCTTGAGCATTTGACATGACTCGAAAAGCGTGACACATTTACCACCAAGATATTTCTACTTTTATAAACGTTACTTTTTCTCGTCTTTTTTAATGTTAACAATACTTGCTGCTGACGGGTTCTGGAAGTTGTTAATCTGCTTTTCTAAGTACTTGAGTGATTCCGTGAGGTAACTCTGAACTGTCGATAGAGCTGCTACAATCGCTGGACTACCAAAACCGTGGGTCATGAGAGAAAAGTGCGATAGATGGCGCTGAATATTGGGTTCAATGATGCCTTGAGGCCTAGTATTGCACAAGGGTGATCTGTCTTGCTTGAGTAGATCCACAAATTCTTTTATTATTTGCCTGAGTAAAAAACAAATAAATAACTTATTACATTCAGCAAACTTAGTATTATGGAAAATTACTATTTAAAAGTAGTAATCAAAATACATAGGAGGCTTTCTATATTATCTATTTAATCATTACTTTTGTAAATAAACCAATTATAGCTACTTGATTAAGATAAATTTGGAATTAAAGAGCTATTTTTCTAGATCCAAAACTTTAATTAAAAATACTGTTGTTATTTCTTAGTGCAAAGTTACACAATGGGCTATCTTCACTTTGTCCAGCGCGGGGAATCGAGTTACGAATTCCAGTGTTGTAAGTTCGTAAACTTACCACTAACCCACCATGGACTTCAAAAATGCAAGTATAAAGGTGTAGAAATAAACATATATACTGCAGAATGAAAAGATAATTAAAGTAAAAAGTACATTGTTAGCGTCTAATTTGTTGTCGTTTCTGTATGATTGTTATCGTTTTATCATGCTCGTTGTTACGGTGTGTGTGTTATTCAAGTAAAATACTTATTTACTGTTTCAGAAAACTCACAAATCTACGTATTGACAACGCTTATTTTCATATCACCTGGATGTTTAAAAGAATCTGAATTTTCAAATTCATGTCTAGAGAGAGATGAATATATTATTGTATCTATAACATAATTTCAATTAAATTACTGAGACAGACAAGTACAAAAAACGTACAAGATAAATTAACTTATTGCTGTGTATAATGCGAGAAATTGCCATTTTTTTGGAGGATATCAGACACACTGAAACTTCGTGAAATGACCAGAAATATTTCTATACACTTTATACATCACAAAAAATGCGTGTTGCTAGAATAAATAGCTTAATTAATCCACAGTTAAACAATCTTAGCAGTGATCCGTATTAAATCAGTTATAACTGTTTCCAATCATCTTGTGATATTTCATCATCTTTGGCACTCTAACCACATGCGCTATTTAAAGCCATAAAACCAAGTCGAAATATCGCACTGCCATAAGACTAGTATTTTATTGAAATTATTATACTTTGCACTATTGAGAGATGAGAGGGTGGGAGTCCACAGAGAAATTTATTAAACGATTTTATTCACCCTAAAGGAAACAGTAATGAAGGTATCAAATAAAAATCAAACAAAGCTCTAAAGTAAATATAATTATAAGGCTTAGACTGAATGTTAGTGAGTTTTCAAAGAACTTTTGTGAAACAATTTTTACTCCGACAAATAGGTAAGCGTCGTAAAGGAAGGATCAAAAGAATGTCATTAATCTATATTACAGTAGTAGTTGTCTAATGTTCATTACACACCAGCTAGAATAATATCGCAAAGACTATTAATTTACGTTATTTATCCAAGTATTAGTTAACCCCTTAGTTAGTTTTAGTTTAGTTATTTTTTTCGTAGATTTGCATTATTTGTGCTGATGTCAAAATTCCATATAAAGTTCAGCTTACTGGATATGTTGAAGAAAAATAACTCTTTATATGATCATTTTTGTGTTTCTTTAAACGTATTGTAATCAACGCATTAAACTTTTTAAATCTTCTTTAATAATATGAAAATAAATATAACCATTATGACTCAACTCTCCTTGATATGGAGAAGCTAAAGCAGCAAACTTGTATCATAGAGTCAAGCTATGAGGAGTGTTTAGCAAATACAAGACCCTTTAAGTCAATCATGTTAGTTTGCACTCATTAACATTACATCAATGATTTACTGATATTGTGGACAACCGGGCATCACTTCTGTGATCTTCATCATATTAGATAGGTAAAATACATGAGTGATGTTACGAATCCAATAAAACGATGGTGCTTTAAGAACATTAGTTGCTTGGAAATTCAGTTCATGCAGTTCGTCCTTCATAGGACTAAACAATAGAAAATATAATGTGCTAGGTTAGGTTAGGACTAAATACGAAATGGGGAACCACTGGTTATTTGTAACTTTCATTCGCAGTCATTATACATCTAGAAATGTGGACCTGGCATTATAACGTTGCAAGAAAACATGTTCCATTTATCTTGGTGTAGGAAAAATGTCTTCCATTTATCATATTGCAGGAGAATGTCTTCCATTTTGACGCCGGAAGGTCCATAAGAGAACAACCAACTCCGATGGTGTCCTGATGAAACGTTCATTACAGAAGATTGTTAATAACCAATGTCGCTTGTACTTGCTTATTTCTACAACTATCACGGAAATACATGATAAGTGATATTCCTTGCAGCTTAGAAATAGTGGCATATTAACACGATCATTCGTTGACCGCGGTTCAGTCATTTATAGCGAATGAGAAAAATCCTCGTTTTAAAATGGATACCCCTCGTCTGTGCATTCTAAAGCTAAAAATGCAAAGATGCTTAAATACCGATCCAAGGCAGTAACTTGAATATTAACAAAGTTAATGTTTAAAACAGTTGAAAATGAGAATAAATAAAGACATGAAACTAAATAAATAACTGTCGAAGTTTGATAAAATTAAATGAACACAAATAATGTATAATTACAGTCGTTAGACCTCGAAAAGCAAATTGTATATAACTAGAGAATATGGGAACTTAGCAAAAGAATTTAGCCATATAACTACAAAGTTCTGTATCTAAAACAACATCAAATGAGCTATCAGAAACTAGAAACAGTTGATAACAATAAAACTGTTTGTAAACCAGGAAAGAAGTTACAAAAAAGCAAAACATTTGAAATATGCGAAGCGAATTAGACATATGTAACAAAAGGAATAGGGTATATGTACGTATGTATATATATCATAGGGTATATGTATGTATATATATATCATAGAGTACATGTACGTATGTATGTATATATATATCATAGAGTATATGTATGTATGTATATATATATATATCATAGAGTATATGTATGTATGTATATATATATATCATAGGGTATATGTATGTATGTATGTATATATATATCATAGGGTATATATATATATATATATGTATGTGTATATATATATATAATATGTCATGAAAAAACAACTGCATATTTGCATACAGTTTAGTAATATATAATAGTAGAAGCTGATAATATAACCATGAAATGCAGATGTAACAGCAAGGTTGACTATATAATAAGAGAAATACTCAATATATATAACAGCAAAAGGTAACTTTTACGGAGATGCTATGCTCAACAGCAGACTCTAATGATATAGAAACAGAAAGCAACATAACCAAGGGCTATGGATAACAACAGAAGTTTATTAAGTGACACGAGAAGGTGGATATAAATGAATAGTGGTTTAGTGAAACCGACATATACTGACTAAATAACAACAGAAACCAGACATTTAATAGTAAAAACTCCGATGTATGACTTCAGAACCTAAATATAAGACCAAAAAGTCAAATAATAAAAGTTCCTTATATAATAAGAGTAGCTGGTAATTGGAAACTTTAGAAATTATTGAACAACAGAAGATGGATATAAATTGAGTATATAACAGAAAGGTTACCATTTAGTAACACAAGATGGATATAAATTGAGTATATAACAGAAAGGTTACCATTTAGTAACACAAGATGGATATAAATTGAGTATATAACAGAAAGGTTACCATTTAGTAACACAAGATGGATATAAATTGGGTATATAACAGAAAGGTTACCATTT